TTATTTGTGCCATCCAGGATCTCAATCTCCAGAGGCCTCATAGACCAAAATATGTCTCAAAAGGAAGGGAGGAAAACTCTATGTATTTATCAATTTATTTATCAAACTCTGGCAAGGGAGGAAAAAGTTGAGTATATGTATATACTCTGCTTTTCACTTGTACTGCTATTGCCTATGTGTGCATCTGTTAATATCATATACAGCAATTCATGTGAAGATTTTTTTCCAGTGAGACTTACTTATTCTAGTATTGGGACTCTGTATTAAATAATAATTTTTTAAAAACAGTGCTCTAACTAATGTTAAGGTGGAAATTCTAGACCCCTCAAGCAAAAATTTCCAAATAGGACCCCTTATCATTTAATTGTGAAATAAACAACTAACACTTTGATGGTATTTATGCTTGGGAAGAGAGTAAAAAGAAATAGTTTTGGATTTTCCCCATATAAATTAGGGCCTGCCGAGTAATTAGCAGTTAATAAATGAATGCTTCCTACAAGTTTAAAGGCCATACCTGAAATGGGTATATGATGATGTATATTTTTATAGTTGTAGGTTTTATATATCCCAAGAATCTTTGAAGATAATCTAAACATCTTGGTTTGAAGAGCAGAACTTTCAATAAGGAGGTAAAGGGCTAATATTGTTTGAGCACTTACTATGTGGCAAGCACTATTCTAAGATGATTACACAGATTATTTTATTTAATCCTCACCACAGTCTTCTGTGGTAGGTACTAGTATTGCCCAATTTTATAGAAAAGGGCAGAGAGATAAGGTAATTATTATATAAAGTCACACAGTCAGTAAATGACAGAGCTAGAAATCAAATCCAGGTTCAGTTGGTCAAGAGCCCATGTTCTTAACCATTGCAGTAAAAATTATTATGCTGTTTTAATCTATTGAGTCAGCATATAGCAATATTAATATAATCATTGACATGTTACCTTTTGCATATATTGAATGTTTTCTAAAGAAGTAGTTTATTATCAGACATATTCTTAGAATCATACCCATTTTATAGCAGGATTGACAGTGTTATAAAGAGATTATGTGATCAACATGGGGTGAGTCAACAGAACCAAGAAGTTTCTGATCCACAGTTGCCTTCACTTGCTAGGTTCAAGTAAGGATCATATAGTGTTTACTTACGTTTGCCATAGATTTTTCAGTATAGCATGATGAAATTCTAAATGCTTATTTCAGACAGTGATACTCTCTGAGCAAGACATGGACGATTGGGCATTAGAGTGAATTTTAGGACACTAGATCATAGGTACATGTTAGAAAACTTAATCCTCATCTTGTTATGGAACTCATGGCAAAGCCAAAGAGGAAAAGCCTGTCTTAAATGCTTTTCCTTTTCCAAGAGGGCAGCTAAGGTGCCCAGATATCTTTGCCCTCCAGGGATGCAGGTGTGCTGTTTTTATTCTTTAATCATTCACGTAAATTAAAGCCTATTCCTTTGCATTAAAAAAAAATGTAAAATGACACTCTCCATGTTTTATTGCCAGGAAAGAGCTTTGAACTTCTGTCTCATTGAAGTTTGATAAACTAAGGATTTTCCAGTGTTGGGTGGTACCCTTAACCACAGAGGGAACATTAGACTGATAAGAGCTGCAGGTGAAGGAAACCACCAGGGCACAGCAATTAGGGAGAGCTTTGCATTTGGCTGTTGGCTGGTGTAAAACTCTCTCCAGAGAGGAACTTTTCTTCTTAGCTTCTTCCCTTCACCCACACATAAAAAGAACACCAGGGCTTTCTGTTTCTACTTTGTGAACTAGGAATGGATGGGATGGTTCTTTTCAAGAAACTTTGAAATTTAGGGACAAGTTCTAACTTCACACCGTGCTGATTGGTATGAAGGTGAGGGGACAGGACAGACAGACATACACACACATATAAATTCACATGGACCCAAATGGACCGTATCTCTCATGTGATTTTACTATTAACATACATTCCTGCCTTTGTGCACTGTGTAAAATAAAGATAATTTTTAAAGTGTTAATGGTGAGGCAGTGTGTTAAGAGAATGGGTTTTTGGTATCAGGTAAACCTTGGTTCAAATCTTGGCTTCTCTTCCCACTAGCTGTGTAAATTATTTTAATTTTGTAAGTTTCAGTTCTTCCACTTGTAAAAATAGAAATCTAAGAATAACTATTATAGTATTGTATTTGGAACAAATAGAATAAAGCATGTGAAACAATTAGTACAATACTGTGTCTGTCACGTTGTTGTTTAATAAATTGTACAAGTACTCAAAAATGGTAGCTGTTATTATTTGTAATATGAGACTAAATATCTGATTGGCAGATAAATGTTAAACATGCATGGTCCAATATATTTCTTTCTTTTCTTTTTTATATTTTTGGTATAAAGTCTATTTTCCAGAAAATTCCTCCTTTTTTTTTTTTTTTCTTCTAGAAGGACAAAAGTACTTTGATTTTTACTGCTCTGAAAATATTTCTCCTGTAAAGGGCTTTCACATTAACTTTGAGTCCCTGGAGCTAGGGAGGAGGAGAAGCAGGATTTGCTTCTAAGTACAGCTCTTTCATTTCTACCATCAAAAAGAAAAAAAAAAAAAATCCTGTACTAGCCTTAGGTAGAGCTAAGTCATAAAAGGCCATATAGCCCAAGGAAGGAATCTTTTTGTAAGATCAGGATAAACCCATAGAAGAAAGGAAGGAGAACACAGAGGTGAAAATGCAGCTGATTTTAATGTTTCCCTGGCCATTTTTCCCTCCCAATTTAATATACACCTAATTATAATTATTATATTTTGAAAACAGTGTCAGAAATTGGCAGGTATTATCTTACAGCTTCACTCGCAGTTTTGGCCATTTCTTAAAGAAACAGTTTTCTAGTTGGATGAACTGTTGAGTTGAGGAACTGATGTTGTTTTTACCCCTTTTTGGGTGGGGTTGGGGGTGGGCAGTCAGGGTTTGCAGTGACTGATAGTTGTTAGTTTGGGGAAGCACTCATTTAGATAAAACAAGTCACAGAATGTAAACAGGCCGTCCATCTGGACTTTAGGCTGCTGGGAACATGGTGAAACCTTAGTCACTGTGATCATTATGGTCAAATGAAGACTCTTGAGCTCAGGTTGGCAGATAAACTTACTTGTTTTATGAGCTTCACTAGACTACTAGGACTTCAGAAATAGTTTTTTGAAACACCAGTATTTATAAATTTTAGGTAATTCCTTCATATTTTCCTGAGGAATGAAACTGTGAAAGAAGTAAATGTCTGCTTTGTCAGCAACTTCATGAAATTGCTTTTTGGAAGGATATTCATCGCTTAGGGTTTTTTGTTCTCACTGCTCCAGATGAAAGTATTTTTCTGAATTTTTTATGATAAACGGGGACACTGAATTGGAAGCTTCCGTGTAAAGTTTGTCAGGATACCACTGTCATACCTAAGGACAAAATTCAGAGAAGGGGAAGAAGTATTTGAGTATCTGACATCTAAGAAGTTCTGGCCTATGTTGTTTACTGAAGTAAACTCCTAATAATGCCATTTGAGATAGGCTTTTAAGGAAACATTATCAATCACATACTATGCACCAAGCACATAGTGGTGTTTTACCTGTATTATCTTACTTATTTCTATAACCCTATAATGTAAGTACCATTATTCCCCCCATTTTACCATGAAGAATAGGCTTGAAGAGTAATTTGTTTATGGTCACGTAGCTAGGAAGCGGCAGAGCTCAGAATGGAGCTCTCAACTCTCTATAGTCCAAAGCCCAAGTTCTTAACCAGTGATTCTTAAACTTAAGAGTACATAAGAAGCACCAGGGGTACTTGTTAAAAATTACTGGGCTCTAGTAAGAAATTTAAGGTCACTAAATCTGGGACAGTGCCAGACTATAAAGCTGTATTTTAAACAGGGCATCCCAGGGGATTCAGATCAAGAAATTGATTGACCATATTTTGAGAAACATAGTTAAATTATATTGCTTTCCACGCTTGGTAAAGAAGAAAACAGGTGCAGGCTAAGTAACTATCCAAGATTAAGCTACCAAGACAGAGCCATGATTCAAACTCAGGTCTGTCTCACTCTAATACTCATAGTTTTTATTATACGCCCATGATTAACTCACACATTTCCAAGTCACAACAAATGCAGAAAACATGATATCTAATAAACCGAGCCAGACAGATTTCATGGTCTTGTTATTTACCAAAGTTAATAACTTACATATATACCAGTATTAAAATTTTCATGGTCCTTAAACTTTTCTTTTTTTTTTTAAATTAACTGAATTTTCTTTTTTTTCTTTTTTGAGATGAAGTCTGACTGTGTCGCCCAGGCTGGAGTGCAATGGCATGATCTCGGCTCACTGCAACCTCCACCTCCCAGGTTCAAGCGATTCCCCTCCCACAGCTTCCTGAGTAGCTGGGATTACAGGCATATGCCACTGCGTCTGGCTAATTTTTGTATTAGTAGAGACAGGTTTTCACCATGTTGCCAAGCTGGTCTGGAACTCCTGACCTCAAGTGATCTGCCTGCCTCAGCCTCCCAAAGTGCTGGGATTACAGGCGTGAGCCACTGTGCCTGGCCAGAGTTTTCTTTACAATCATACCATCCATGCTTCAAGCATGGAATTACAAACTCCCTGGATAAGTTTCTGATGCAGAAGTGGAAAAGAATAGGAGGTAGAAAGAAAAGAACTTCCAGGTGTATCTGCTGAATGGTGCTAAATCTCCTCTTCAACCCACCCTTGTCATTGAAATGAAGAATAAAGGGTTGATGCTAATACTAACAGCCAGTCAAATGGCAATAGGTCATGTTCACATCATCTCTCAATCTATCCTTTGAGACTATAGCTCAGTTAGGGTCAGCAAGTTTGCTTTGCCTATTCCAGTCCACTGATGAAGTGTCATCAGACAGAGCTAACACTTGGATTGCCTTACACATCACCTCCTACTAGGATTGGGATCATTCTTTTTTTAATCTTTCTCTCATTTTCTCTTTCTCTCTTGCTATTTGATTACAGCTCAGCGACATGTCCTCACCTACATGGAGGATGCAGTGTGCCAGCTGCTAGAGAACAGGGAAGATATCAGCCAATATGGAATTGCCAGGTTCTTCACTGAATAGTAAGTACATGAATGTCGTACTAATACAGTGAACCCAGAGGAGGTGCTTGGAAGCAAGCAGGACACTTGAGGAACAGAGTGGGACAATGCTGATTATTTAGTGGCAGTGAATGTTTAGTTTTGGTAGGTTGGTTGTGGGCCGCCCAAACATGTTTTGGATCATGCCTTTGGTGCAGCTAGTTTTGTCCAGCGATGTCTCATGAATGGTTTTGATTACAGTAGCTTAACAACCGCTCGTTTGATCTATTAGATCTGTTTCTTTAGGTTCGTCTTTTAACTTTCTCCTTTATTCAAAATATTCACTTTGATTTCCTTTAGCTGGTGTTCATCTAGCCTGTTTTTTTCATGGCTGGCTTTTCTCATGGAATTGTTTAGGCTAATGCTCCTTGCAGTTTTCTTTCTACAGGATGCTGTGCCAATCACTTAATGATTTAAGAGTATTTCTAATCAGCAAAATGAAGAGACAACCCACAGAATGGGAGAAAATATTTGCAAGCTACCCATCTGACAAGGGATCAATAACCAGAATATATAAGGAGCTCAAACATCCCTATAGGAAAACATCCAATAATCCCATCAAAAAAACGGACAAAAGATGTGCATAGACATTTCTCAAAACAAGACATACAAATGGCAAACAGGCATAAGCAAAAGTGCTCAACATCATTGATCATCAGAGAAATGAAAATCAAAACTACAATGAGATAACATCTCACCCCAGTTATAATGGCTTATATCCTAAAGACAGGCAATAACAAATGCTGGCGAGGATGTGGAGAAAGGGAACACTTCTACACTGTTGATGGGGATGTAAATTAGTATAACCACTATGGAGAACAGTTTGGAGGTTCCTCAAAAAACTAGGAATAGGGCTGCCGTAAGATCCAGCAGTTCCGTTGCTGGGTATATAACTAAAAGAAAGGAAATTAGTATATCGAATAAAGATCAGTACTCCTATGTTTGTTGCAGCACTGTTTAGAGTACTAATATTTGGAAGCAATCTAAGTGTCCATTAACAGATGAATGGGTAAAGAAAATGTGGTACATATACACAATGGAGTATTATTCGGCCCTAAAAGAGAATGAGATCCTGTCATTTACAACAACATGAAGAGAACTGAAGATCATTATGTTAAGTGAAATAAACCACACAGAAAGACAAACATTGGATGTTCTCACTTATTTGTGGGATCTAAAAATCAAAACAATTAAACTCATGGACAAAGAGAATAGAAGGATGGTTACCAGAGGTTGGGAAGGGTAGCGGGGGGCTGGGGGAAGAGGTGGGGATGGTTGATGGGTACAAAAAAAAAATAGAAAGAATGGATAAGACATGCTATTTGACAGCACAACAGGGTGACTATAGTCAGTGATAACTTAATTGTTCATTTTAAAATAACTCAAAGAGTTGGCCAGGTACGGTGGCTCATGCCTGTAATCCCAGCACTTTGGGAGGTGGAGGCGGGTGGATCATGAGGTCAGGAGATCGAGACCATCCTGGCTAACACGGTGAAACCCTGTATCTACTAAAAATACAAAAAATTAGCTGGGTGTGATGGTGGGCGCCTGTAGTCCCAGCTACTCGGGAGGCCCAGGCAGGAGAATGGCGTGAACCCGGGAGGTGCAGCTTGCAGTGAGCTGAGACCGCGCCACTGCACTCCAACCTGGGCGACAGAGCGAGACTCCGTCTCAAAAAAAAAAAAAGAGTATATTTAGATTGTTTGTAACACAAAGGATAAATGCTTGATGGGGTGGATACTCTATTCTCCATGATGTAACTATTTAACATTGCATGTCTGTATCAAAACATCTCATGTGCCCCCAAAATATATACACCTACTATGTACCCATGAAAATTAGAACTTAAAAAATTTTTTAAAGAAATATTTCTAGAGGGAGGATATCTTTCATAGATTATATATTTGAAAGGTCATACTTAGGCCAGGCGAGGTGGCTCACGCCTGTAATCCCAACACTTTGGGAGGCTGAGGAGGGCAGATCATGAGGTCAGGAGTAGGAGACCAGCCTGACCAACATGGTGAAACCCCATCTGTACTAAAAATACAAAAATCAGCTGGGCATGGTGGCACGCACCTGTAATCCCAGCTACTTGGGAGGCTGAGGCAGGAGAATCTCTTGAACCCGGTAGGCAGAGGTAGCAGTGAGCCGAGATGGTGCCACTGTACTCCAGCCTGGCCGACAGAGAGACACTCTGTCTCAAAAAAAAAAGAAGGTCATACTTCTTTGTAAAGTATGCTTAGAATGTATAAAAGTCAAAATGATTACTACCTTTTTAATTTTTTTGAGATAGAATTTTACTCTGTTGTTCAGGCTGGAGTGCAGTGGCATCATCATGGCTCATTGTATCCTTGAACTCCTGGGCTCAAGGAATTCTTCTGCCTCAGCCTCCCTAGTAGCGGGCCTACAGGTATGTGCTGTCATGCCCAGCTAATTTTAAAATTTTTCTTTTGTAGAGACAGTGTTTCAGTATGTTGACCAGGCTGGTTTTGAACTCTAGGACTCAAGTAATCCTCTCGCCTTGGCCTCTTGAAGTGTTGGGATTGTAGCCATGAGCCACCATGCCCAACTGATTACCACTTTTTGAATATCACAGAACTGTTTTTAGGCTGAATGAGATAAACACTTTAAAAATACATTAATCTTCTTTTTTTCCAACTTTTATTTTAGATACAGGGAATACATGTGCAGGTTTGTTACATGGGTACATTGCACCCAGGTAGTGAGCATAGTACCCAATAGATAGTTTTTGACCCATTACCCCCCTCCCTCCTTCCCTCTAGCAGTCCACAGTGTCTGTTGCTCCCATGTTCATGTCCATGAATGCTCAATGTTTAGCTCCCACTTATAAGTGAGAACATGTGGTATTTGGTTTTCTGTTCCTACATTAATTCACTTAGGATTATGGCCTATAGCTCCATCCATGTTGCTGCAAAGGACATGATTTCATTCTTTTTTTTATGTCTGCATAGTACTCCATGGTATATATGTACCATATTTTCTTTATCCAATTAACCTTGATGGGCACCTAGGTTGACTCCATGTCTTTGCTATTGTGAATAGTGCAGCAATGAATGTATGAGTGCGTGGGGAGAATGATGTATTTTCCTTTGGCATACCCACTAATGAATGGGATTGCCGAGTCTAATGGTAGCTCTGTTTTAAGTTCTCTGAGAAATCTCCAAACTGATTTCCACAGTAGCTGAACTAATTTACATTCCCACCAACAGTGTGTAAGCATCCTCTTTTCTTAGCAGCCTTGCCAGCATCTGTTTTTTTTTTTTTTCCCCTGACTTTTTAATAATAGTCATTCTGACTGGCATGAGATGGTATCTCATTGTGGTTTTGATTTGCATTTCTCTGATGATGAGTGATAATGTCTCTGATGATGAGTGATAATGAGCATTTTTTCATATGTTTCTTGGCCACTTATATTTCGTCTTTTGAGAAAGTGTCTGTTCATGTCCTTTGACCATTTTAAAATGGGGTTATTTGATTTTTGCTTCTTGATTTAAGTCCCTTACAGATTCTGGATATTAGACCTTTGTTGGATGCATAATTTGTAAATGTTTTTTCCCATTCTGTAGGTTGTCTATTGATAGTTACTTTTGCTGTGCGGAAGCTTTTTAGTTTAATTAGGTCCCACTTGTCAATTTTTGTTTTTGTTGCAATTGCTTTTGGGGACTTTGCCAAGAATTATTTTCCAAGGCTGATGTTGAGAAGGATATTTCCTAGGTTTTCTGCTAGGATTTTTATAGTTTGAGGTCTTACATTTAAATCTTTAATCTATCTTGAGTTAATTTTTGTATATAGTGAAAGGTAAGGGTCCAGTGTCATTCTTCTGCATATGGCTCACCAGTTATCCCAGCACCATTTATTAAACAGGGAGTCCTTTCCCCATTGCTTGTTTTTGTCAGCCTTGTCAAAGATAAGATTGTTTTAAGTGTGTACTTTATTTTTGAGTATTCTATTCTTTCCATTGGTCTACGTGTCTGTTTTTGTACAGTACCATGCAAAACATAATCTTCATGAAAGGATGTGCTAGATAAATACAAAGCATTATTTTTATTACCAACATGCCATCACATATTTATATAATCATTTGGATTCTCTTTCCTTTTCTTCTGGTTTATTGGGAACATTCTAAGAAAGGAATAATAATCCTTATAGGCTTCTGTTTAAGTCAATCTTGAACTCAAGTTCATCTTCCTTGAACATAGATTTTTTTTTTTCCTTTCTGTTCTCCAGAGGCTCCTTGGAGATCAGACAGCTATTCAAATGGCCTCAACTTGGGTTGCTGTTAGGGGAATACTTGAGATTCCCTAGCTCTTTTGCTGAACTCTAAAGTTCTTATCAATGAAATCTAGATTTTTTATGGATTGGCATTTTAGGTTCCTTGGAAAAAGAAGCTTTCTGGGAGTAAAGTTGTTCCTTTCACCCAGTCTTCTAAAGGAGGATGAAGTAGAGAAAGGAATTTTACTTGTTCTCGTGATGCGGGCTGGAGCAAATGAGGTAGGCAGGGAATAAAGACTGAGATTGAATAGCCTTGCTTGCTTTTATAGAACTGACAAGCGAACTGACAAGCCTACAGGTCAAGTTTCTAGGCCATTTAATGTGTACGAGCACTCTTGAGGCTCCTTGCCAAGTGAAATATGGCTCTTCTGGGGGTAATGCTTCTTTCTGGCTTTTTTCATTTTACTCCCCTCCCCATCTCTGTTATCAGTCTTTTCCCTATTACACTGGTTCCTTGAAGGTAGGCTTTTTTTTTTTTTTTTTTTTAGGCAGAGTCTCCCTCTGTTGCCCAGGCTAGAGTGCAGTGGTGCAGTCTTGGCTCACTGCAACCTCTATCTCCCGGGTTCAAGAGATTCTCCCGCCTCAGCCTCCTGTGTAACTGGGATTACAGGCGCCCGCCACCATACCCAGCTAATTTTTGTATTTTTAGTAGAGATGGGGTTTCACCATGTTAGCCAGGCTGGTCTCGA